GATAATTGCGACACATAAATTGTATTTTCATTAAAGTATCTAATAAATGTTCAATGGAATGTTCTAAAAGAGAGACATAAATTGCATTTTATAATAATATCTATAATGCTATAGTGTTTTATGTTAATCATACTTAAATTAAATACTGCAAAAGTTTATAGATATACTCATACCTAGATAAACGTAAAGACAAGAAGTAAGTCTTGCACAAATTTTTTCATACTCTTCTTTACTTTTCCTAGATGCTTTTAATTCCATATCTATATAGAGTGCTAATAAGTCCGACATATTGTTTAAATAAATAGTTCTATTACGATCCTAAAAGAGAGTTTTATTAATTTATAATAACATAAGAAATATTTTATGATATACAAAATATTAAGATTTAAAAATGGAGCTTACCTCAGAAAGCTCACGATAAATATATAAGAATAACATTAAAGTCTCACTAATAGAATCCTTTAATTTTGCAGCTCTTAAAGGCTTTGTATAACATTCATTTACACTGACATTTACATTTCTGTAAGAAAATGATTTGTTGAACTACTTTATATTGTTAAAATAATGAAATTGATGTATTTATAATGTGCTATCTATTTCTTTCATGATTAAATTTTCATATTACAAAATTATTTAAATCTTAACAGTACTATAGTTCTTAGTACACAACAAATTTTTATTTATGTCTACTTTAAAAACTTGAATCACTAACATATACTCATTGATTTATTATACCTGTCATTAGCTTAGCTACAATTTTATATATTTAGACAATTAATATAAATTTTACTCATAATGCATTTAATTATTGCTGTTTAATTATATAAATCTAAGTGTGTACACTACCTTTACATGCAAAAATAGTAGAAAAAGTTATGACTGTAAAAAATTTACAAAACAATATATTAGTGTTTGATGTGAAATAAAATGAATAAAATATATAACACTTTCCAAATTTATATCAATATGTAGCAAATATGTGTTTAAAAATTATTTTACATGTTTTTAAGAATTATTTCATTTATAATTACAAAATTTTGTTACTAATTATATTAATAACATATCAAACATACCACTTTTATTTTCTTCTGTTACTTACAATTTTTAACAATACTTGTTATAATGATTAAATAACAGTATCATTTTATGAAATTAATTACAATTTAGTAGAAATTGAAAGTTACACTTTTTAAATACAAATTCACATTTTCATTCCATTTTCTCTAATATCTTTTATGTATTATTTACTGCACTGTATTATGACAACTTTTCCACTATAAATATATTTAATAATTTTCATTTATTATCAAAATTATAAGCATGCTGTCCTTTTACTTTTTAAGAACACAAATTTATCTACAATAGTACCTATCTGAATAAATAGTTTGTTTTCACTGATTTTTAAACCAGTTCCCAGAAAAATATTACTGGTAAGGTAAAGGTAGCATTAATACAAATTTATGATGATCTATAATCATTACCTCACATAAAATTGCATAAGTTCTGTTAAAGATGCCATACTTTTCTCTGTATGTATACACCTGCACATTTTTCTAAACTCTAAGATCCAAGGAAATAATTCAGTAATTGAAGTCTTTGATTCATCATTCAATTTTAGCCTTCCACCATTTTTAATCATTTCCTTATTGGTATCTGTGCATTGATAAATACATTTGTTTAAGAATTTTATCTTAAAAATTTTATAAAAACAATATTTAAAAAGTAATAAATAATAAATTATATTTTTCATCTCAAAGAAATGAATGGATAATTAAAAAAAAAATATCAAACATCATGCAATTATGATGTGATCTAGTAAATGTTGGAATTCCAACCAGAATGTGAAAATTATACAATTTTCCAAAAGAATTGTGCAAAAAATGTTCAGCAAAATTTGTTTCACAAAATATTTCAAATATAATTACACGTTGATATTCCATAGATATTAGATTTTATTGTAGAAGTTGTAAAAATTTCATGGGAAGACAATTGTAACTATCAACTTTGTAATTTAAATTTTTTGAACTTGGATGCATTCTCACATCTGCCACAACTAGATGTTAAACTTTCAAAAGAATTACACAAATAAATACATGTAAGTCATTTACATAATATAGTAGTTTGTTTCATAGTTTTACATAATAAAAAAAATGCTTCTTTTAACGATATTATACGTGCGCTTGTTATACCACGAGCTCATTAAACACTTAGCTGCATTTATAAATAGAACTTATGCAGGAGTGCAGAAAGATCCAAGAAATCATATTTTTCAATGATTTAACGTTTTTAAATACTACCAAACAACGACAAAAGTAGTAACTAAAATCGACGAAACATTGTATTAGTAGGCGGTAATCACTTTAAATACTGTCTTCACCATTTTATAAAGTGTTAATAATGATTTATAATAACATAGATTTATAAAATCTAAAAGCATGATATATATTAGAACTATTAAAATAAAAATAAATATAAAAATTGTGATATATATTTATATGAACTTAGAAATGTTACTAAAGAATATATACGCACAAAAGTTTATTAATAAATCCGATTAAAAGTACTCAAGGACAAAATCTAAATAAATGGACAGAGAAGACACTTTAAACGAGTTATTCTTCTGTTACAACACACGCGCATCGTCCACTTAGCACAAGGTCGATTTTTCACAAAAAAACTTGTAAAACTATCACCAAAAGGTATGATATATAGCTGTTCAAAGATCTCATTTGCATTTCTACAGATTTTGTTGGTAGTCACTGAATGGCAGTGCCAATAAATGTAGCAACAAATCGATCAAATGCGTGTCGAAGAGGCTGCGTGCAAAGACTAGCGTGTTTAGCGCACTAAATATTCGTAAACAACGGTTCAAAAAACACTGTAACGAACACGATAACCACGTACCTTGCACTAGAGTGTTTTCACTC